TATATATATATATATATATGAATGAAAATTCTTTGGATTTTTACAGATGTCATCTCCAGGGGTAAATGTCAATATAAAAAATATGCTGCAAGCATTGTCTAGTTTAATGTTAAATATGTATCTAGTAATTAAGTCAATATCCTTGATATCATATGATTTAAAGTTAGTTCAGGCTAATTCTTCCTACTTTAGTCTTCAATAAGAATATTGTTATTAAAAATTAAATATTGTGATCCATGAGTTGTCTCTTAAATAAAGTAGCAATAATGGAAAACCATAGGAAGGAAAGAAAACACCTGACAAATATCTGTGATACACACCCAACATTTTCCAAGCAGCAGCTATTCTTGCTATATGTATAAGGACAGACATCCAGCATATGGAAGCAATATGTATTTCTGTCTATGGAATTCTGCACTGCATATCAGTGTTGCTGATCTAGTAGATTATATCCTGCTCCTTTACCTCAATCTCTTGGCATACAATCAGTACCTAATGAATCCTGTTGCACTTGGCACAGCATAAATAATTAAAGCAACAATGACCTACTCAGTACAAAAGCTTAAGAAATATTCATTTGTTTATCATAACTAAATTTTCTTGGGGGAAAGAGAGTTCTAGAGTTTTATATCCCCTTTTCTGTTCACTTGTGTCCAATTTTTGGAGACTGTCTGGATAAATTGCTGTAGTCTTCTTGGCAAAGTATTTTTTCAGAAGGGATTTTCCATTGTCTCCTAGGGCTGAGAAAATGACTGGCCCGAAGTATCCCAAGTGGCTTTGTGCTTAACATAGGACTAGAATTTACTGTCTCCCAATTTCTACCCTGATGCTTTAACCATTACACCATACTGGATCTTTTTCTGTGCTTATAACATTTCATAAATACCTTCTCGTTGTAACAAATAACTAATTCAAGAAAGCAAAGTAACAAATAATTAAACTAATATAGAGTAAATTCAAGTATTTATTGAAATAAAGAGAGTAATATCACAAAATACTCTGTGTCATAACTGATATTGCCTTCTTAATTATAAACTGCATAGAAGTTCCTGAACAAGGGAGTAGAGGATTGTAATCTCAATGTCATGTATGAATCAAGACATAAAAAAGATAAGTTGTAGTTGCTACAAGGTGTTTACATTACCTTCTTTTCATCCATCACCACCCCATTTTTTTCTAGACCTTGTATTTGCCAAAGAGAAAGTAAACCACAATTAATAGACAAAGCTATGAGGCAGCTGTAAAAAGTACAATATTTCATTCAGAAAATGTGTCATATTCAAATTTTACTGCAATTACATTGACCTATTAGAGTAGTTTCAAAGATATGTAAGCATCGGCAAATCTCTGTATTTTGTCCTAAGATTATGAATCAAAAGCATCAAACTGTATCTATACACTAAAATGCATAGACAAACAAAATATTAAAAAAGAGTTACAAAGGGAAACAAACTCACTGCCAAAAAGAGAAAACCAGCTACTGGAAACTGCTTGGTTAAAAACAAAAGAAACTTATCCACGAGAGAATAGCTCTTACCTATTTATGCAAATGCCTGTGATCAATTATACTTTACAAAGATAGTCTAAAGCTTGTGCATTTGGTCTCAGAAATGTATGAATTAAGATCAAAATATAGGTTTAAAGTATTCAATGAATACCTGTATGCAAGGCATTTTTACTTAAGTATCGTGATAGTATGAGTGTGTGTGTGTGTGTGTGTGTGTGTGTAAATATATGCTTATCTAATCCTCTGCAAGAATATTTTTCTCTGCCTGGACAAGCTACGCTTCAAACAGTCGGCCCTTGCCCAGGAAACAGCAGCAGTAGTGGGAATGGGGAGTTTTGCACCTCGCAAGAGCATCCTGTGCTATAGGCTCAAACAAATGTGTTTTCAAGTCACCCTCCAAAGCTAATGGAAGGTGGCAAGATAAGAAAGGCAGCAGGCATTGCCAAAAGAAAAACAAAAATCAGTTCAATTTATATAAAACACCCTAAACCTATAATGTATTCAAACAGTAAGTGGGCCTTTATCTTTACCCATTTTCATTCAAAATCATTACAAGATCGCTTTTCATTCTCAGAAACAAATTATGACTTAGATTGCATACGAAAAAGAACAAAAATGCAAAATAATCTGCTTAAAATAAAAATTTATTATAATACAAAGTATATGGGCTCAAAATACATAAATAACATAAAATTTAAATGAAAAATGGGAACATATAACAAATCATTTAAACTAAGGAAAAAATCATAGAAAGATGATCAAACAAAGTTTAAATACATTGTATATTTTAATGAAACATTAAGTATGTCAAAAGGCAGAGTGGTGAATACAAGATAAATGTTTGAATATGAAGAACTGATTCTGCTATGAACACACATGCACTAACTGTACTAATTACAGATTAAACACAATAATATTCTGTCAATTTTGGGGGCCTTGCCCTTAATGTTGATTTCTCCTGGAATGTAGTCATTTTTCTGGTGGATATAATTTAGAAGACTCTAAACTGAAATATGTAAAATCTTTCAAATTTGAACTCCTCTGAATTCAAAACACCCCATATCAAGTTTGAAATAACTGTTTTAATAGTTTAGGAAGTCTTTCAAGCTTAAAATGGAGTACATTAACTTTAAACTCACAGGTTTTCTCATTTCAAAAAAACAGAACTTATTTTTTATCACCATTCTCATCACTGGTCACTTTTAGCCAGGTCATCTATGGTAAGCACTATGAGGACAGAGTTTTAGTAACATCAGATGACCCAATCATTTGCCCATCTTAGTCCAATGTAATGTCCACATTTTATTAATTCTTGACTGGTTTTTTTGCTTTTTAAAATTCCCTCTTTATGGTTAATTTTTTCCTGGTTTTGGCCTAGGACCATAAACAACATTTTGATACTTTGATGCTAAGCATACTTCACCCCTACAATTACCATGCCGTTTAAAACAAGGACTCGTAAATTATTTTACCATAACCAAAATACAAAAGCAACAAATTAAAAATTTTATGGGAGCAGTACTACAGTATGTCAGTATAAGCTTGATTCTGCTTGAAAACATTTTTCTGCAAAAATCACACTAGTACACCACTCAAAACCAACCAATCAGATCAGCTTCATCTTTATCACTCTGTTTGGATCACTTGCAATCCAATAACATGATAATCTGGACACTGCAGTCATTATAATATAGATACTTTTCTAAAAATACAAGTTGTAGAGATTGATAAATCAAAACTTCTTTAAACATAACTTAGCACTGCAGTTTTGTTTCCTATATTCCTCAGTGCTTCAAGAGCACATTCTAGTGCTTGTAGTGACCAAACTTTCCTCATGTAGATCAAATTTCCAGATGACATAAAATGGCCACCACCCAAGATGAGAGGAGATTGCAAAATCTGGACAGGCTGGGCTGAAATGAACAAAATACTCTTCAATAGTGAAAAATGTAGGTTATTATATTTGGGGAATAAAAATGCAGAGCACATATACACAATGGGGGATTCATGGCTTGGAAAAACCCATCAAAAAGGGCTTAGTCATGGTATCTGAAAACAGGATGGATGAGAGACAACAGTGTATCACAGTTGTTACTGTAGCTCTGGGTATGTTAGAAGAAGCATTGTACCCAAGGCATATGACATCCTTATTCTCCTCTACTCTGCCACGGTACGAACCCAATCTGACTACTGTGCACAAATCAGGGCATCGTATTTCCAGGATACTGAGAGGTTCAAACATGTTAAGAGGAGAACAAAAAGTAACAATGCAAGGAATGGAGGGCATTCCTATTAGGGCAGACTCAAGAAAGAGATTGCTTTAGGGAAGACGGTCCACTGCCACAAAAATCAGGACTAGGTAGAAGTTGCATTTCCAATTGTTATTTAAATGTAAGGGAAAAATTCCTGAAAATAAAATTTGTACAAAAATGGAACAGTTTGCCTATATGAACTCTTAGTCAGACAGCTCTCTCTCTCAAGAATCTTGGAACTGCACACGGCAGAGACCTGAACTACAGGATCTTTCTCATCCCTTCCAAATCTATCATGCTATGAATAGAAAAACTTTGCTACTTCCAAGTTACTGGTTTACAATTCCCGCAAACAAAGGCAGCACTGCTCATTGTAAGGGATGCTGAAGTTATAATTCAGAAACACCTAAAGGGTTCACAGATTCCCCATTCCTGGCTTAGAACATGCTAATATTATTTTCCTTCCTAAAAATTTTCTGAGATATTTAGTAGTCTAATTAAGAAAAAGCCACCAATACCATAGCCATGTTGATTTTTTAAAGCCAATAATAATATTGAGCTTGAGTAACAAGTTTTCATTTGTAGAAGAAAATATCGTTGAATAAAATCAGAAAATATAGAAAGAACCTGACATGAGACTAGATAACACTTATTATATGAGTATATTGAATATTTACTCATATCAAGACTGTTGGTCTATGTAACATAGCATGGCAAGTGACAAGCCAGCTGATCCACTCTGTCCTGGCCAAATGCATCAATATTCAGTTGATGCAACAACAACAAAAAAACCAATCCCTGCATTTGTGGGAAAATGCTGAGAAGTGGGGAAAAACTCTTTTCTAGCCTATTGAATTTATGATTCTTCCCTCAAATTGTGCTGAAATTAAAGTTTGACACAGTAATTCATTTTTTGCTTGGCTGACAGAGGAAATCCTTCAACAGCACAATAAGTTTCTAACACAGAAGCAACTGTATTAAATTTCTGCCCCTTGAAGAGATGAACAGCATAAATAAATAGAGTTTTTTGGCAGTGGCTCCTGAGCATATCCTTACCTCATCTACAGTTGGGCACTAATTTTCTAGGGTTGTAGGCTACTGAAATCACAAATGACTGAGTAGTGGAAACTAGCTTTGTACCTGATTTTTGATGCCTAAACAAATCAAACAATCGTTCTTTTCAGAGGCTGAAGGCTCAATAAAAGTACATATTTCTAACGCACTACTATAAGAAATCAATCTCCTACAAAGAAATAGTTTAATATATATAAAATATTATATAAATATGTTTTAGCTTAGAAAAGTAAAAGGGGTGTAAAAATAAAGAGGGTATAAAAACCATTGAGATAAAATTTTATTCTTCCTTTTTATAATATCAGAAACCAAGATCACCAATCAAACAAGGAAGTGATTCCTCACAGAGCACTTGTATCATGAAATTTGTTTCTTAAGATATAGGTATGGTCTATATTGTTACGGTTTTAAAAATAAATTAGAAACAATCATGAAGAATGAGGTTATCAGCTGGATGCTAGACCTAATGGCTATACACTACCTTCTATATCAGAAGTAGAATGACTTACAATATCAACTGCTGCTGAAAAAGAGCAAAAGGATGCTAAGTGGCCATTGAAAAAGCAGAATCCTAGAATTAGAATTTTTGTCTAATCCAACATGACTTTCTTACATTATGTAGTAACATACTGATATTTTTACACAAGCTTAAAAAAGTTTACCAATATGCTTTATATAAAAATTGTGAATTCTTTTCTCAGTATTGCCAAACAGTACATGAACAGTTAACTTCATTTACATTTGGTTACACTGAAATTAACTGAATTTAATTGGAATAAATGGGATCAAGTTTTTACACTGTTCATGAAAAAGAGAAAAGGTAATTTTTAGAATATATTAACAATAAAAAGAAATATCTACTTAGGATCCAGGACTTAAATTTTCCTATATCTTTGGCTCTCATGTTCTTGGTTAACAATTATGCTGATTGCATCTTGATTGCATTGCAAGATTTCTCACATTTACAGCACTCCTTAAAATTCCCATTTTACAATTCATTCTTTAAGTATGACACAAGTTTTAAATAGCACACATTCAGTTTTGTTTCAAATTGCTTTGTGGAAAAAGATTATTAAAGCAATTAGTATAAAATTATTGATATAACAATTTGGGGTGTCTCAAGCATATTTACAACCCACTGAAATAAAAACAATAAATCTAAAATCTAGACAATAAATCTAAAATCTGTAATCTAGACAAACTGGAGTGTGGTTAAAAATGAAATCAAACTCTCTGAAACTAGAGCCCAGTGCACTAGTTTTGTTCTCCCAGGCCTTCCATTCTATACACTACAGTTGTGGAGATGTCCTCGTTTGATTCGGGTGACACTTTTTTCCACACAGTCTCTTTTAATGCAAGTTCGTGCTGAAGACTTTCATAGTCCAGTGGTCCAAAGGAATGCTAATTGTTTAAGCAACATATAGTATGTATTAAGTTACCAATGAAATAAAACAATCATTATTTTTATTTATCAATTAGCACTTGCTGGTTCTCTCATCCTGACATTATTATGCCACAAACATTTTAATTTCAAACCACAGTAAATAATTTATTTAATTTGGTGAAAGGGAAGAAAGACTCCTTTAACCCACTTCATTCATAACAGGATGCTGATTACATTAATTAGCCATATAGCAACTTTCATATTAAAGAAGAATTCCTGAGGTTCTATTCATTACAGAGTTGCTAACAGCACTCATACAATCCAGCTTCTCCCAGTTTAATTCAAGTCAGACAATTCAAACTGCTTTGGCAATAATTATTTATGCCAAAGCTTTATCAAGTAGAGAAATGAGTAAAGAATTGAAACATGTTAATTATACAAGGCTAAAATTCTAAGCTTCAATCTTTTTCCCAGCTTGATCCAAGGGGTAAAACATAAAAATTGTCTACGAACTTACACATTCTACAGCGCAAATGGAATTCCAAAGTCCTAAATAATGACTACCGCTGGTATTTTGAATGGTATTAATGCCATTAAAAAACACAGATTTCTTCTCAATGAGGATCAGAGCCACGGTCAGAACAGTAAGTGAACGACATGTTTGAAAGTTAATACAAAGCTCTGTATCTCAGGCAGTACAATTTTTAAAAAATGTTGACAAAGAAGCCTTTTGGCCACAAGCAAGAGATTACCCACTGCTACTCTGAGATTCAAGAACAGTACTGGAGATATTTTCTCACTAATATGTGGATCAAATGTGTTACCAAAATAAGAAATATACATTTTTATTTTTCTTGTAAGATCAAAATCTTTAACAAAAAACTTTGTTCCATAATTTTTATGAAGTGAAAATATATTGCTAAATATGGTAGCTTTGCATCATGGCATTTTATCTAGGATGATTTTAAGTCTACCTAGAAAGGATTCATGAACTGTTCTCAGATTTGTTGGAGGATAGTTTAAATATATTATGGTCAAATATGTTATATAACAACAATGATTTCTCTAAACTAAACTAAGTTTCAGTCAATTGCCACATTAGTACTAGACAAGTAGTCTTCAACTTACTCTTGAAGTTATGGCAGACCTCCCCAGATCCTACTTATAACCAGGTTTCAAAGTTGCAACACAATTGCATTTTGGCTGTTTGGCAACTGGCCCACACTTACAGCCATGTGCAGTCATATGACCACAATTTCTGATTTTTGCCAGAAACACATTTGCTTCCAGTTTCCAGCAAAAAAAAAAGTCAATTGGATAGAATTGATTCACTTAACAGCTGTAGCATCTGCTTAATGACTTTTTCGTGGCAGTTGTTATTTACTTAACAACTGCCACGAAAAAGGTTGTAAAATTGGGTGCAGTCACACCATAGGTTCTTTAATGACTGGTATGACTTACAACTATAATTCTGGCTCAATCATAGTTTGTAAGTCAATGACTACCTGTAAGTAAGCAAACCAGTAAAAACCAGTGAATAATGTAATATAGTTTTATAATATATAATATTTTAATATAATAATATTATAATAATATAATATAATATAATAATATAATATATAATGTAATATAGCATTTAATAGTTAGTTCTAGATATGCCAGATGTGGCCTGAATTGTATCGGAACACTCACATATCAGAATATTGATGTAATACATGTCATTGATCAATCCTATTTGGACTTTGCTATGCATAATGTACATGTTATAAATACTTTCAACTTACTCGTTGATCACCACCTTCCCTCCGAGGATCAAGCTTCTTTGCAAAATGCCTCAGGTTATCATAATTATGAAAGTTGCACAAAGAAACCAGTTCCTGCAATAGTAAAAACATCATTGTGTTATATTTATAATAATGTATACCATCAAGAGCTGTGGTGGCGCAGTGGTTAAAATGCAACACTGCAGGCTACTTCTGCTGATTGCTGGCTGCCTGCAATTCCATACTTCTAAGGTCAGTAAAATGAGGACCCAGATTGTTGGGGCAATATGCTGGCTCTGTAAACCATTTAGAGAGAACATTGTGAAGCGGTATTTAAGTCTAAATGCTATTGCTATGTTATTGCTATCCTAATTTACAACTGACTCTTTCATTCAACTATACTCTGATATTACTGATTATACATAACTTTAAGTAAAGTCCTTTGTCAAGATGAATGTTAAGCCTTTTATAAATTTAGGGGAGCCAAAAGAAAAAAAATATTTTTTAATATTTCTTCTCAATCAGGACTGAAAAGAAATGCATGCATTTTGTCAATTCTTCCATTTTCAAAATACACCTTTTTATCTTTGCTTAGTGTGTATCCATCCTTTTGCTTTAAAAATCTTCCATCTTTATTGATTCTAACAATAAAGACATAAGCATTTCTGCTCAAGAAAAATGCAAATTTTCCTACCTTTACTGAGATAGGTGTAAATGTTAATGATCATTGCATTTGTGCTACAGACTAGTAACAATTCAAGTAAGAAGACCTGCTCACATGACAAAAGTGTATCCCCTTAACGCTGTTGCCCATCTTGTCTAGCGGAGGTGACCAGCACATCATGCCCATAACGTTAGGAACAACCAAGAGAATGCCACCAGCAACTCCAGATTTTGCAGGAAGACCCACCTAAATGAATGCACAATTTAAACCATTAATATATAGTTATCAATATTTAGACAGCAATCACTGAAAATCCATATTATCCGTCAAGGTAGTTTTCCAAAATTTATCAATTAGCGTACATTTACATCCCAGGAATTATTCAGTTGATACCTTAAAATACTTTTGTTTTTCTGGATTCATTTCTGTCATTTGAGTTTTAAGTAGCCTATATGACACAGAATTCCTTTTACCACCCATGGTCAATTTCTAATTGCCATTATCACTGGTTTTAATAAGAAGTTAATTCTTTTTTTTTTTTAAGAGCTAAACATTTTTATAACAGATCCCTCAAAACAAGCACTTACATGGAAAGCAAACTGCCCCGAGAAGTCATACATGCCACATGAATGCATCAAACTTAAAGTGTTTCGAACTGCTTCAGGACTTAGGACTCTCTCACCAGTGATGGGGCAAAACCCGCCATTGGCAAGAGTGGCTGCCATGACACTAGCAGATTCACAAGTCACTTCTATGGAGCACAGCTTAGGAAAAATGAAAAGAAAAAGAAAACATTGATCAACCTATGCAAACAGAAGGTTATATAATTAAATGGATGAAAGGCCTATCTTACAAAAGGGAGCCTGAACCCTTAAAGAGCCTATTATCCTATGAACAATACAGCATGCAAAGATAGACTTTCCAGATTAGGAAATAAAGGCCTATTTGGGTGAGCATGAAGTGGGAATCTGATGTTAGCAACGTTTTTTTAATGAAAACATGGTACAAGATTAATTCATAAAACAACTGGGTAAGATTTAAAAAAAACTTGTTCTCTAATCAGTGCAATAGTGAAGCTTGTTCTGATGAAGACTGACATTTTTAAAAGAAACATTTAAAAACTACACAATCCTGTTACTACAGAAATGAACAGTACAAACAATCATGTGACAGAACCAGGACAATTTATATTATTTACTTATATTATTTATATTATTATTTAGTGTGTAAAATTTAAAGCTACCTTATATTTAACTTAATGAGTGGGGGGGGGGAATATCATATTTTAATCAATAACAAGATTAGTAATAAGAAAGAATGTTTTAGTTAACCTAACCAATGTGAAAGCACTAAGGATATGGATAACTATTTCTTCTCTGAATAGTACTACTGAAGCAGTAGGAAAATTACACATAAAGCGCTTTTATATTTAGCAGAAATCCCCCAATTCCCCAAAACTCTGCTTAATACAATACTGTGTAAAACCTCAAGGTTACTGAACCAAGGAACTAACCATATTACAGTAAACAAGGATGGATTTGGAAAATAACAGATAAAGATAAAATGAGACAAGATAAAATGAGTAATTATATGTACTTCTCTTTTCTTGGTATATATGTTATTCTCCTTTGTTGGTATAGTTTAATAAAAGTAACACCCCGGGCTAAGCTGAGGTCACGACATGTATAAAGTGACTTCTCAGGAAGAGCCAGGGGTTCAGAATTTGCCATTCTAATGGTCTGAACCTTGTGCACAAATAAAAACGGTTGTATTCTCCAACCTTTCGTGGTCTTGTGTCCTGATTTGGAAGCAAGATTTCCTGCTACACTACAAAACTGGCTGCAAAACGTATTACATTCTCACTACAAAAATATATAATTCTTAGGTCAAGGATTGCAATCAACTCTTAATTTGCACTAAGATCAGAGAATGAGAAATGCTGATTTATTAAAACATATTCAATCAGAATATCATTTAGTTAACATACTTACCCCAAACAAAGGATTGGATCCTCTGTTGTGTAAATATTTATATAAATAACATTTTAACCTATAATTCTATATATTTCTTTTTTCTTCTTCAAGGATAACAAATATTCTAGAGATTAATTAGCTACCTGGAAATAGAAGTCCAATATGCCAACCATATCCGTGCCCTCTGGAAAACACTTGGAAATAATAGAATATTTTAGTACATCATGATACAGTAAAAAAAAAGTTATCATATATAAACTAAAACTGATAAAGAAGATGAAAATAATCTTATTTCTGAAAATTCAGTTGAGGATTATCTAAAAAAAGAAGAATTATTTAGAAATAAAATAAGACTTCCAGTTATTTAAGTCTACCTTTCTGTGAAAATTTGAAGGAAAATATTTTAGCTCTATTACAGAACCATCAAACAACGTGTACTTCTGACAAGTAGTTTCGTAAAAGATTATTACATGCTTTTTGGCCAGAGAAGTGGGAGTGGATTATAATATGAAGATACTCATTTCTTTTACATCTTTGTCCCATTCTTTTTTCCTCTGTCATTAAAACCAGACGGAGAAGGAAGTAAGATGAATAAGATGATCTCTCCCCCCAACACACACACATTACTTCTTGGTAATCCAAATGGGAATAAAACATCTAATGAGAACGTAATGTCATTGTGTTAACTTTAAAGTAATATTACATTAGCTACTATTACTATGAGTAATGTTACAAGGATTTCAGTAATGATCTTTGTGAAGCTAATCAGAATATACATCTTTTGTTTCATGCATGCATATTAACAAGCATAACCCACAGATTTCTCTTTGTAGATATGACAAGTTACTTGCTTGCAATTGTGATTTTTTTAAAAAAAGGTCATCTATTTAATTGTTTACTTAGGTTTGCATCCGATTCAGGTTATGATTCCTGCACTTCTCCTCATAGTCACCAAAACCAGGATAGTTGGGTAGATTTGCCAGAGAATGCTGATACTTTGGATGCAAGCTCTCTTGGAGGAATATCCAAACCAAGAGTTATTTGCTGATGCAGAGAGAGACACAATTTATGCCCATATGAAAGGGAAAGCTTGCTCCCTCAGCACCGACATTTATAAAGAGGTTGCTAAAGATCATAATGCTGAATATAGAGAACATGCAACCAGATGCAAAAACAATGCAGATCCAGAAAGATTGGGAAATAAATTGGTTGAAAACAAACTGAAGGATTCAGTGCAAGCCATGTTAAGTAACATATATGCAAGATATACACATCAAATGTCTCTGTTCCACATGAGGCTTTGTACAGGTGCCATTAATTCATTTGTGTAAATCACAGAGACCAAAATGGAAAGATAACACCATCACTGCATTCTTATGATATCAATATTGTATTTACCTTTATTGTCATGATGAAGAAATAAAATGTTATTTGTAGTTTGTTCAATTGACATTACATACATTTAAGGAAGCGGAATATATATAACTAAAAAGCATACCTTTTTCTCTTTCAAATAATAGCCTATTGCAAAGTTTCTGTCTCCACTCTCTCTTTCAGACTGGAATCTAAGGGAGAAAAAGAAACAGAAATGGATATCAAACCACTAAATACTTATTAACAATACTATTAGTGAGATATTTGCTTTTTAAAATTGTTGTTAACTCTAGCAACAACTATGAAGTTTGGGAAGGCACATACTATTGTTGTGTGGAAATTACATTAAAAAGAACAGATTAATGTTGTTGCATATTAGAAGCCTCAATGCAAAGCATTAGCTATTCAGTATTAAACTAAACAATTTTTGTAAATTAAGTTTTGTGAATTAACTACTTGAGAATACAATAGAACTTATTTAGATGTTAAGTGAAACATAGGAATGCAATATAAGACAGAAAGTTAACCATCACCACTCCAATAGACAGAAACTACACAGCAAATTCATACTGCAGTGTTACAAGCTGAATTGTTACAGAAAAGCATGCCTTGTGGTGCTTCTTGAACAATCTTTTGAGGGAAAGAAAAAACTTACTACTTTCTCTCTACAGGGGGCCACAATTATTTGAAGGGGGCAACAGCGATGAGGCAAAATTGATGTTTTTAGCAAAACCAAACCTGTAGAAGAGAAATAATTTCTCTTTCTCCTCTATTTTCAACTCTTAATGGAGGAAAGGAACAAGATTTTTTTCTTCCCTTTTCCCTTGGTTTTTTGAAGAAACAGTGTCATAAGGTGCAGGACTTGTCAGCACTGAAGTCTCAAAATGGCCTCAGTCAGGCAGCTTCAGGGTTACTTGGAACCCTGACACTTCTACAGAAATCTAGCATAAAGGAAAAATTTATCCTATGCCCAAAGTCTTAGCTGAAGCAAAGATTTGACTAATAAAATAAAATATGTACAGCATTAATATTAACTATTGCTCGTCGTGTCAAAATTAATCTAGGAAACATACTTACGTGGCATTACTGAAACCAACATATTCGTTTCCAGCCATTTTATTCATGAACTGCATCACCTAAGGAAAGCAGGATTTTTTTTTCAAAATGTACCAAAAAGCACTTAGTAGTAAGTATTCAGTGCAAATAACTGATTTAGGTTTAGATATTAAGCAATGTTGTCATTCTGTAAGAACAAATATATTCCACAAGAAAGAATGAAGACATTTTCTGCTTTAATATAAATTACTATTTACTGTGATGTCTAAAATAAAATTCTTGTTAGTTTAAATTAGAAATTAATATTTTTATCTTAATTTAAGATAAAACACTACATACATTTTTAGTCTAGTTGAAATTCAATGACATTCTGCTTTTAGTTTAAAACTGGAGAGCAAATGTTTCTAAATTTCACAGAAGAGAAAAAACACTTGTAAAAATCAGTGAAGCTTTCCTCCAGGGTTGCTACATTATAGTTTATAAATATAAAGTATATTAAATATAATGTGTTTTAAATATAAAGCAGACAATTAAATTGTTCCTTACAATCAAATTGGAGTCCAATTCCAATTCAAGCAACTTTTGAGTTCAGTTAATAAAAAGGTGTGAAGTTAAAATATGGGGCACAGCAACGCTATTTGGTAACACTTAAAATTAGAGAAAATAACAATTGTAACAATTAAAAGATTTGCTTACATAGTCAAACTTTTCAGCATTATTTGCTCCTTGCTGAAAGGAAAGAAGACACATTTACAAAGTTTATTAATACAAGGGAACTGTAATTATAGATTAATTTGTTTCATTGTTACCTAAATGCTATTATGTATTATTAGACTAGAGTTTTATTTGTTAGTCTATATACCTATGGTAGAGTTAGATTACTGAATTGTTATACAAAGCATTACAATACTTTAACATTGCCTGTTAAAAACATTACCAATGTAAAACAATAGAGCTGAACTTAGTTTTATTTGGAATGTAATCAGTGACTCCATTAATTTTCCATGATTTTTTTAAATTTTATTGTTGAATTACAAGTTATTTGTAATTAATACTATTAATACTGTTTTGTGGAGGTAGCTTTTAAATGCTAGGTAGAACTAATAAGTCAACTGCATTAAAATAAAGATTGGTTATGATTAAATATGCTGATAGGAGCATCTGCATGTGCAGATTTAAATAAATAAACCTCCCATTAGTATCTTTATATTTTCAATTCAAAGAATTGTGTTAAGAAAACATAACAAATTGATTATTGCTATAGTAAATGTGTACAGTTTAAAATTGTGTGTACATAGGCATGCTTGTGTATTAATGAACCTTGACTGAAGCAAAGAGTCTGCATAAAATATATGCTGGGAGGGAGCAAGCCTTTAACAGAAAATGGGAAAGGCTTAAATGCCTAAACTGAGGTCAGAGTATCAAAATCTTTTATATTTGTATCTGGGTAATGAAAAGGATACTCCTTCAAGTAAAAATATACCCTAAAGAGCATGTGCAATTTTTTTTCTACATTTGGTATTTTAATTTCAGAAACATTTAGGTTTCCAGATCCAAAATTTCAAAAATAAGTTATATGAAATCATAGCTAAAAGGTTCTGTAGAGATGAGACTGAACAAGGTAGATATGGGGTTTTTAAAAATGAGATTACAATAACACAGCAAATCAACTTCGTTGATTATTGCAAGAATATTCTGGCAGTTTTTTCTGTATCCCTAACATTTAAGCTGCTAGACATTTAAAAAAGTATTTACTGGAATTATCATTTTTTTAAAGCAGACAAATTCAGATTTAAAGGCCTCAAGCTAAACAATCCATGAAACATTACTTTCACCATGTTAGTTTAAGGGGGGGAAAAACCTTGAAGCCTGTATGTACCAGCATTCTACTCAATGAAATGTATAAAGCCAGCCTCATTTCCCATTCTACAGTGGATTAGGACCTTGCAGACAATCCGTGAAGCCACAAGCACCAGCTCATCTAGTGATGTACAGTCATTCACGTATGCTCACCAGCTGAAAGAATACCATACTATTGTGTCAACATCAATCAAATTAAAATGCTGATACCCATAGAGTCAAAGGCTATTTAATATGCTAAAAGATTATGCAATGTGTTGAAAAGCATTAGAAAAACAAACTTTTTTTTTTTAAAAAAAGGGTAACTCCAAATCTGTTCAATGAAAAATAATTAAAAGAAGAAATTACCAACTTCATTGAACTGTTGCAGTTGTCAAAATATTCCATAGATCCTAATGCTGTAAAATATGTAACAACATTTAAACCACAAAAACCTTTTAAATGCACAGTGAATGTTGCTTGGGACAGTGGGAGGGGACGGCATTAGTTATGGGATGCTATACTGATCATTGTTGCATTGTTAAAACAGTTAAACTGAAACAAGTTTTGCATTTCTCCCCTATATCTGACAAAAGGAGAAAGATGCTTAATGCAAGACCTCATTCTCTCCCCACCCCTCAAAAAAACAAAACAAAAAACAAAAAAAACCCAACCCAAGAACAATAAAACCCAAAGCCTTCATTATTTTGAAACCATTAGCAGAATCAATAAACCAAGCAAGAGTCTGAGCATATAAGCAAAGCAAACTTATTTCAGCATTTATCATATTTAGAATTTTCTTGGCTTTAAACTCCAGAGTATTTTGACTTCCAAGAAAACAGTATATTTTCACAATTCCAATAATAGAAGTATGAATAAGCATATTTAAACATTAAAATACTGGATTTTTTCCAATAACACCTAAACTCCATGATCTTAACAATGTCATTTCATTTGATCATGACACATTTTTCTTTAAGGAAAACAAATAAAAGTAAAGTCAGCATTAAAACAAGATACCAAATATTGCAACAGTTATTTTCGCACATCCCCACCTTAACAATATGGAAAATACGTCTTCAGTTTGAAGATGGAATATGAGAAAGAATAAAAGCAACTTTTATTTTGGAAGGGCTATTTTTCCAATCTGTGGAGATTTACTTATAAAATTACAAGCAATTAATCTGTCTACAAATGTTCCATGCAATATTTAACTTCACAAACATAATATATACATATATACACTTATAGTGTGCATGCTTGCATGTATATTTATGTGTATATGCACACTATTGTGTATATACAAAATATAAGCCTCGGAACACAAAATATTTTAAGACTGTAACAATCCAATGACACATCACACATGCATATTTTATATAATTATACACATGTCAATATTAAATCAGTAGGGATATTTTATATATACCAAAATTCTACCAGCATGCAAACAGAACTTAAAAATAATAAAATAATTATATATATGTTTCAATTTTAAGATACTAGGTCAGTCGTATAGAGATATACCAAACATCAAATTATATTAAGATTTATGCTTAGTACTGCTGATTTAAGCAGGTCACATGATTTATTTGTGGATTTTCTAAATTGTCAACTTATTTCTGAAGAGTTACTTATTCAACAAACTAGTTTTATTATAGTAAAATAGTATATATCCTACCCTATCTGTATTTTAAAACACCACTCTAATAAAAAGGCATATTGGAGTTATATGGTAGTATTTCAGTATCAGAAGACAGTATATATACTGGAGCTTTCTGCAGAAATGACACCAACATTTTATCATATTCTGTATAAGGTGACCTATATTCACCTTATTTGGTTGGAACATTTAAAGCATAGAAATAATCCTCAAATCCAATTAAAATGTTTTTGTAGCTATGGACTAGAACATTTCATTAACACAGGACTACACTGTCTAATTTTTGTACTGTATTTCATTTTTAATACTGTACTTCTTTGTACGTGCATTTAACATGTAGGTGTCTGACTTTAAGTTGAATATCACTTCAGCTATGGATCTGTTTCCTGTTGTTTCTAAATTATTATTTATGATTTGCTATATTTGAACCATGAGTTGTTCAATGAAGCACTGCTTTAAAACCCCATGTCGTCTTATATAATTTATATCATTCTAGTTGATTCAATTCTATACAGATGTATTAATATCTATATAAGAAAACAAAGGGCTGTCCTGTAGAGTAAAGCAATAATCCCTTTATTGGTTGCAAGAAAGATGAAAAAGTAATATATTTTAAAGGGAGGCTATACATTAATTCGGTATATCAAATATTATTATTAACATAATTTTGAGACAAAAATTCTAAAAATGGCAAACCCACTTCCTTATTATCACAAGAAAGCTATATAGACAGGTATATGGAGTCACCATATTTTAAGACTTCACTGAAAGTGCTGAAATTTTCTTCTTTAATGGCATCATATATTCCGTGATTTTTATAGTGTACTTTGTCATATAATACTTGAATATCATTGCAGAACATGGCAATAAATTGTTTTTCTGTCACCATATTTCAGACACTTTGGTTTAATCATCAGTTCTTCCACAATCTCACTTAGAAAGTGTTATAATTAACAACAGTGATTTATCTCCAACTGCTGTTTTTAATTACAGTATTTATGTTTAAAGCTAGTGTTTATTTCACATTCATTTAAGCTGTATATATCTAGAAATAACACAGTGGATTCACCGAGAGCACAGAGCTGATTCCACGTATGAATTAAGAGGTGAACATCATAGAAAAATATTTTTGTTCCATAGTACTGTATGGTACCATGAAAACTTGAATTTTTTGAGAGACTAAGAGCAAAAGAAGTTGACCTGAGCACAGCCAAACTTCTATCAATAGAGCTTTGCCTCTTGATCAGAAGTTCTGGGATTTTATTTTATTTTTTAAAAAAAAAACAGATTATATGGCTTTCTAAGGTTTTGCCCATGTGGCAAAGGGGTTATTGAAATGGTTAAACTATAATACTTTACCTGTTTTATCCTGGTACATAATCAGAGTTGATAACCCCACATTTAAGCTATTTCCTGCTTAAATGGTTCATTCCCAAAAAATATTAAAAATTCTTCTTTTGGATAATTCTGTTGCCCTAAATGTAGCTAAATTCTACTATCTCATATGTAAAATGTATAGATGACCGACTGATAAGCTCAGTTGATTTTACATCTTGTTCTTTTTTATATGCAATCTGCTTTTTTAACTATTGAATTTTATTTTGTACTTTGACCACAAGAAGCATATTTTACAGGTTCCACAGACTGAAAAAAAAACTAAAAAGTCCTGTTCAAATTATATTCTGAGATGGGCATAACTATATGGCCATAACATATTTCCTAAGAAGCCAAAAATAAAAATATTAAATATTCTCAACTTTGTTTATCTAGTAACACAGATAAAGAAAAAAAAACAATGATATGCCAAATATACCAGTGTTGGTTGTCGCTTTTAAAGTCATTCATGACTTGGGACCACATTATCCACGGGACCATTTTTTCCCAGGTGTTTCTTTCCAGCAGAATGGGCATATTTTGGGTACCATTGGCCGGGAAATGATAATTAGCAGGACCAGAAGATGAGCCCTTCCTGCCACAGCACCTGCACTATGGAAAATCTCCCGGCAGAGATTACAATGGCCCCAACCCTGCTGGCTTATCTATAAGGCCCTAAAAGCCTAATTCTATGCCCAAGTCTGGGGGCCAGAGCATACAAAGGATCCCATCTTTTGGTTGTGTTAACAATGGTCAATTGTGATATTTCTCTTGGCTGCTATGCATTTTAATTTTGTATTTATGACAGGAATTCTTTTAAGAACGATCACCACCCAGAGCCACTTGTTTAGATGATGGGTGGCACAAATTGAATGAATGAATAAATTTATAAATCTATCAATCTCAATTAAAACAGAATTGCAAGGCCAAATCAAAGGAAGGATTCATCCCGAAATGTTATGTAATGTACTCTTAATGCTAGTTAAGATGGCATTCCTTGCAAATATTTGTTTTGTAATTTCACTGAGCAGAAATTCTTAAGAGTAATACTTTTTTCTGCCTCACAAGTATTCATCTTCTCTGGACCACCTCATATTGTTTTGTTAACAAATGTCACAAGGAATGTGAGGCTGCGTATACATTTAAACTTTGGGATTCAAATGCCAATTTAAAAGCTATGGTATGTTCTGTTGTTGAGCTCTTTTATTATCCAGAAAGCTTTATTGACTAAAACCATGTATTACCATAACTAACAAATAAATGATACAGAGCATGCACAACACTAAAAGAATAAGAACATCTTTCCAGATTAAAATCAAAGGCACATCTAAGTAATCTCTATAGTATTTACAAACAAACCTTCTAGTCATGTCACTATTGCACAGTCATCCGGATGTTTAGACTTATTATGGTATTTTTGCCCACCTATTAAGTCCTTCTCATGGATTCAGGATTAGGCAAATGTTTAATAATATTAAAGATATTATTGTAGGATGTTATTCCAACTAAAGCTGACTTTTGCAATTGTGATTTTGTCAATGCCAACATTATTATGATTGGTTGCACAGCCAGTCAGATGATTAGACTGGATTTGGCATATTATTATTTTATCCCACTTTTATCTAATCTTATATAGATGCATCCATAAATTAGACTAGATCTCACATTACAGAGCTGGTTAATTTTTTATTTGTTATTGGCTGCAAGGAAGGGGGCAGCACAATTTTCACTGATACTATAGCACATAGGAAAAGAGGGACTTTTATGTCTGTCTCAGTTACAATCCTAAACGAAACAATGCTATTGGCACCAATGGGACCTCCTCCACATGCTAACTGCAGTTGGTATTTTTGGTCAAATTGCATTGGGGAAAAAAGGTTTCTGCTTCAGCCTTAATGAGAAATTTAATACCACTATCCTGGTGATATCATTCCCCACTTATAATATTCACTGAAAGACTGCCAGCCAGCTAGTTGGCAAGCTGCCAGGAAGAAATCTTAAACTCCCTTTTGTAGAATAGTAGCAGGAAATATGTAAGGGAGAAGCTGTGTCTCTTCATGTAAGCCCCACTTTAACAGACAAGGAAAATATTATAGAACAGTGGGGGTAACTCATGGCTCTCCATTTCCTATTAGCCTTGGTCACCATGGAAGTTGATGAAAGCATAATCCAAAAGTGAGAAACAACAAGATTCCTCACCCATGCTCAATATAACTTATTTTTATTTTGACTTTAATGATGCTATGGAATACAAATAAAAGAGCCACAGATAGGTGAATATGATTTAGCTATTCACATAGTCTTTGTATAACTATTTGAATTGTAATCCAAAATAAGTGCAATTAAACAGGCCTTGCTTTGCTATTTTCAAATATCAGTTGACTGAAAAAGCTATCATGAAATAAAAATAAGTTGCACTAATTATGGTAAGAATTATCAAATATTTGTGCACACATAAGAATTTCATCTGTACTTGTGACATAGCTAACTCACAGATTTCTTGCAAATCTGTGAATGAAGGAGATATTCCAACTTTCTAATGATAAGAATGAAATAAAATATGAAAAGCAGAAGATATAAATAATAGCAGACATTCCTGCTAAAAAACATTAATACCTTTATCCTAAAATTACCCTAAAATTTATCCCACTGCTTGCAGGGAAAGAGAAGAGGGGAAGTCTTTGCTTTCTGGCATAGGTTCACTTCACCAAAATTCTGTTTGCATATATAACCATAATTTCAGTGTGAGGAAGGAAATGGTTCCATATGCAGATGGCAGTAAATGGATTCTATACATGACCATTCTTTTACAAATAATTAATTTCAATTGGTAGGGGAATTTTATTTTGTTCTGTCCTGATCTAGACCTTGTTTTGGAATAAGGCTTTAGGAAGGGAGGGTCACACAAAATGGACCGTAGGTTGTTACAATGAGAAAACAGGGTATTGCACAGAATTTATGGATGTATATGTGTGCACATATACATACAGAGTCTACTCTTTCTTTTGGGAAGGATTGTTATAAATTCAGAATTGCCTTTCTTCCAGGTAAATTACTGAATTTCTAGGATTTAACCTTCAATTAAAGATGCAAAATGCACATAAATGTTGATTTGTCCAGTAATGACAAATGCTTTCAGCTAATTAATTAAAAAGAGAATATTTACAAAAGTGTTTTCTATGAAAATGGACAACTAGGTTCTATAACTTTGTAAGGCTGTTAAAATGTCACACACTTTACAGCACTTCAAAATATATCTAATTTATGAGAGTAAGATTTAAATAAACTTAAGGGAAAGATTAGAAACTTTAATTTTAATATAATTTCTTGAATTTTCCAATTCATAAAACTACTTTATAAAATAGCTTCCCAGAAGATGGAACACATAAATGTCTTACAATCACTATAAACAAATAATGATGCAATATGGAGGTTTATGTCTGCTAGACATGCAGAGACTACATGCAAAGTTTCAATGCACTGACTTGTAACCCTGTTGCTGTGTTTTTATATTACGACTACATGCAGTACAAAGAAAAACTGCAATATACTCTAATGGCCTGAAACCTAAAGTGGATTTTTCCTGCCAATAAAGTATGTATTTGATTGGCAATTCATTAATTTTAATAAAATGAATTTCCAAACATGTGTGCACTTCATACGATATTGGGTTACTATATAAAAGGCTATTGTGAGAACAAGAAATGCACTGAACTGTCTGATGAACTACCTACCACTTATTTTAAAATCTTACTGCCAAGCTGAATTTTAAGTTATTTAAACCTCCAGGAAAAAAAAATAAGCATGAATAAATTTACCTGTCGAATTTAAGGCCATTTTCCTTCACCTACAGCTATTAAAGATAAATGTTTAAAGCAGGAATTTTTTACACAGAAGCAGAAAACCACGAGCCAAAAATAAAATAGCCTTTCATAATTAAAGCTATAAGGATATGATATAATCAAATATTTAAAATCTCCATTTTGATTTCTCTATTACAAAATTAAGGAGAAGGGACAATGTTCTTTAAAACTCTTTCTGAGATATCATATATATATATATACATACACACACACACACACACACACACACACATATATATATATATACACATACACACACACACACTTTTAAAGATTAACAATAACCTGCAATTCAAAGTATATATTCTTTAATTAATCTGTCTAAAAATACTACACTGTTAATTATTAAGCCAAATGTTTTAAAAATATTTTTTTCTAAGGAAAAGAATTATTACTTCTAAAAGTAACAATATTTAATATTAAAGAAGCGCCAAGGGATTTAACTTTATATCTCATGAGTGTATAAATTGAAATATAAAATGAATTATTTTATGAAAAAATAGTTCTTTCAATGGAAGCATAACTCTAACTCATTTATAAAATAAATTTACCAAAACACGAAACTCCATATTAAAATTTCTAAAAGATTCAATTTGTAACTTTATCAAGTGAGCAGTGTTCTTTATTTAAAAATTCCCAAGTTTGTCTAATATAATATTTTCACATCAAAATATTTCATTCCACAATCTAGTAAGATATATTTATATTCATTTTTTCAAAGAAAGAAACTTTTATCAAACCCAGTTTCAAAAGCAGCTTGGGATTTTCTTAAAGTGTTTCAAACTAAAAGGGAAGGAGGTGGGGAAAGAGAAAGAGAAACATACCAGCAACATTCCCCCTTAAACATTATCTTGCTCCGTATCCCAAAACTCCTTTTTGAATTTGGGGAGCAACAGGCAGCTGAAAAACAAGCACTGAAAACAATTTCAGAAGCACACAAGTGTTAATGACTACATGCTTCTATGGTCTGCAAGAAGCAATACAGGAAAAATTCCCGTGTCTATATGTAATCTAATTCTGCTTATAATTTCTTATAAACTATTTACAGTGCAACTGTCAGAAATATTCACTGTACATATTTTACCTTGATCAAAGAGGTGATCACAATTGCTCCAGCATTCACCATAGGATTATGAGGTTTGTCTGTAAAATAATAAAAAAGGATCTAATCACAGAAATGTATCTTCCAATAAATGAAATAAACAAAGCTTCTACACAAATTAGTCATACTATTCACAGCTATCTTTCTCATAGTAAGCTGATGCCATGTATTCCATCTAATTAAGATGATGAATCCTGATATTTTCTTTCTTTGCCTTTTAATACTAACCTGATTTTCAATATCACATGAACTTCTGCCTATTCTTTACATCATCCTTCAGTTTTATTCTATCATTTATATTACTATATATTCAATCCCAAAATGAAATAGCAACTATAATTGTTCATAATGATTAGTTGGACAATTTCAATCCAATTCAGGATTTGATAAATATTTCCAAATCATACATTTTTATCCTTTTAATTTTGTCATTTGGTTAAAATAAGAGAGATTGTTATTAAACTCAGGTCATGGTAAAGGTAACCTAAATCAGGGGTTCCCAACCCCTGGTCTGTGGACCGGCACTGGTCCACAGCATGCCAGAATCCAGACCACACAAACAAATGAAGCCCTATCTGCGGGATGCAGTAGTACATGAAACCACACCAACTCCATTCCACAGAAAAGCCTCTCTCTGCAGAACCAGTCCCTGGTGCCCCAAAGGTTTGGGGTCACTAACCTAAATCATCGCCACATACTATCCCATATTTTACTAAGTTTTTTTTTTTTACTCCCCAGATATACATTTTCTTACAGATACACTTCAATTTAATAATGCTTCACCTTTAAACAAATAAATATCTGCATTTTTTTTTCTCCATTACATTAGGCACTTCCATGTGATTATGAAAACACATATGGTCAGGCCTCTATAGCCTCATTTAAAAGATGAAACCAGAGAGTCTGGCAATTCTGACCATCAAATTTCTATTAGCGTGAGGACCCAGATTGTTGGGGGTTATATACTGACAGTGTAAACTGCTTAGAGAGGGCTGTAAAGCACTGTAAAGTGGTATAGAAGTCTAAGTGCTATTGCTATTCATCATCTGAAATCAACAATGAAAATTTGCGGTTTGAAAACTCAATAGATTTTCTGATTTATCTTTTACACAAAAGATAAATCAGTCCAAATAAGGTGGGAAGGCTGTTGAATAAGAAGCCATCTGTACTGTCTCTGGCTTTTGTAGAAGCTGTGCTCCCTCAGAAAGAGCAGATGATGGTCATCGCCAGGACTTTTGTGTAACGTTGGCTGGTGTGCCAACTACACAGTACAAGATACCCCTGCTAACTTTTGATTAGATTACTACAATATGCTCTTCATGAGTCTACTCTTGACGACCACCTGGAAATGGCAGCTCACCCAGAATGGGATGGGATGGGATGGGATGGGATGGGATGGGATGGAATAGGATAGGATAGGATAGGATAGGATAGAATAGAATAGAATAGAATAGAATAGAATAGAATAGAATAGAATAGAATAGAATAGAATAGAATAGAATTCTATATTGGCCAAGTGTGATTGGACACACAAGGAATTTTTGTTGGCGCATATGGTCTCAGTGTACATAAAAGAAAAGATACATTGAGTCAAGAATCACAAGGTATAACACTTAATAGTCATAGGGTACAATAGGGTACATAGGGTACAATAAGCAATCAAATCATACTAGGAAACAGTCAATATAAATCGTAAGGATACAAACTACAAAGTTACAGTTATAGTCACAAGTGGGAAGGGATAGGTGATAAGGAATGATGAGAAGATTAACAGTAATAGTAATGCAGACTTTGTAAATAGTTGGACAGTGTTGAGAGAATTATTTGTTTAGCAGAGTGATGGCGTTCAGAAAAAAATCTGTTCTTGTGTCTAGTTGTTCTGGTGAGCAGTGCTCTATAGTGTTGTTTTGAGGGTAGGAGTTGAAACAGTTTATGTTCAGGATGTGAGGAGTCTGTAGATATTTTCACAGTCCTCGTTTTTGACTCGTGCAGTATACAGGTCCTCGATTGAAGGCAGATTGGTAGTCATTGTTTTTTCTGCAGTCCTAATTACTCTCTGAATCCGTGTCTGTCTTGTTGGTTTGCAGAACCAAACCAGACAGTTATACAGGTACTGATGACTGACTCAATAATTCCTCTGTAGAATGCAGTGGCATGAACACTCACTTGTTAGTCATAGAACTGCCACATCAGAACTCTGCTGCAGGAACTGCACTGGTGACCAGTAGATTTCCAAATGTAATCCAAAGTGCTATCACTACTTATATACATTCAAGATCAAGGGAAGTACTAATACCACTCTATAAAGCCTTAGTAAGACCACAGCTAGAGTACTGCATCCAATTTTGGTCACCACATTATAAAAAAGATATTGAGACTCTAGAAAAAGTACAGAGAAGAGCAACCAGGATGATTAGGGGACCGGAGGCTAAAACATACAACAAACGGTTGCAGAAACTGGGCTTGGCTAGTCTAGTAAAGAGAAGGACCAAGGGAGACATGATAGCGGTCTTCCAATATTTGAGGGGCTGCCACAGGGAGAAAGGGGTTAAGCTATTTTCTAAAGTGCCTGTAGGCCAGACAAGGAATAATGGATGGAAAGTGAACAAGGAGAGATTTAACCTGGAAATAAGGAGAAACGTTCTAACAGTGAGAATAATCAACCAATGGAACAGCTTGCCCTCGGAAGTTGTGGGAGCGCCATCACTTGTGACTTTCAAGAAGAGATTGGACTGCCATTTGTCAGAAATGGTGTAGGGTCTCCTGCTTGGGCGGGGAGTTGGACTAGATGACCTACAAGGTCCCTTCCAACTCTGATTATCTGCATTGGTATATGTGGCTGAGGGTATCTTGGGAATTAATAGTTCTCCCAATTGTTTCTGCCTGTCTCTACCCAGTCAACTAGGGAATGTCTGCTGAGGAACAGTTAAGGTATAATGTGAAGGGGTTTTATTGTACCAATTAGTCACGATTCTGTATGCAAAAAACAGTTCCTATTGACCTAGAACACAATATCAAGTACAAAACTTACTGTTTTCTAGTTTTCCTATAAAAATGCTGGTAATCAGCAGTTAAGATGAGAGCACATACAAAATGGGTTCTAGGATGTTTGAAAAAAAATATCAAAGGGTTTAAAAATATCTAAAAGGTTTTCGATTGCGGGGAAATTGTATTTCAGCTGCTTTCAAGATTGTGCTCTTGATCGGTATTTTGAAAACTAAGGTGACATTTTGATATAGAAATACCAGTATATTTTATTTAACATTGGTCAATAAAAGCGTATGCATGCTAGTCCAAATGAAATTATGAGCTAGCATATGGCAGTAATTTTTAGACATAACATTTGAGGCATATGTCTTTTGGAACAGACTGCAAACCTTTGCACACATGGAATCTTGCCAAGGGTGTCACTGTATCCTAGCTTTCAAAAGCTTAGTTAGTTATATGAAGCTAATGGTTTGGAACTTGGAGAACTTCTTTATATTCAACAGCTAATGATACCCTTAAAATAGGTATGGGGTAAAGGAAAAAAAATAGAACTAGCAAATATCTGCCAAGAATATATACAGTGTTACAAAAAAAAAAAGAAGAAGTGTCAGATTCTTTTTACAATAATGGATATCTTTGGAAGCTAATTCATGAATATTTACTATGTTCAATTAAATCTATACATCCCATATTTCAAGCTACAGGAAAACTCTCTCACACAAAAAAGAAAAAGTCATCAGGAAAGGAAGAAAACACATTCCCCATCCATCTTTTGAAATACTGTGTTGTCAAAACTGTAACCAATTAATCTGAATGAGAACTGAAATGGACCATTTAGGCCACCGAGTCCAAACCCTTGGTGGGTTCTGGAATTTATGTTAAACATTTCTGATAGAAATACATTTAGCTTCTAGCTGAACACATCCAGCAAAGGAGAACTGACTACTTCTCTGGATTTTAGATTCCACTAGTACCTGCTCAGTAACTGTTCTTACTATTCAATATTTTTTCTAGCATTCAGTCAGAATCTGCCCTCCTATAACCTGTAGCCATGTTCAGGTTACAATGTGTCTTTGACCTTCTTTTGCGCAGCATCCTTCCAGCTATTTTAAAATGTTGTCACTTCCTCAAGCCTTCTCTGCTAATTGTTAAGCATTCCCCATTGCTTCAATTTTTTTTATAGGACTTTTTTTTTAGTCCCACAATTATCCTTTATGGTTCTTCCTGAACCTGTTTCAATTTGTTAAATTCTTCTTAAGGTGTAAAGATACCAGAGATATTTGGATAAGATACCAGACTAGAAACCAAGAGACTGTGAAGTTTAGTCCCACTTTTGGCAAAACCAATCAGGTGATCTTGGGCCGATCAATCTCTTTCAGCCCTAGTTAGCAGGCAACGGCAAACCACTTCTGAAATTTCACCAAGAAAACTGCAGAGACTTGTCCTGGTAATGACCAGAAGTTAACATTGACTTGTAAGGCACAAAATAATAGTTTAATGTGTGATGTCCAGACAGTGGTGGGATTCAAATTTTTTTACTACTGGTTCTGTGGGCGTGGCTTGGTGGGCGTGGCAGGGAAGGATACTGTAAAATCTCCAGTCAGAGGTGGTATTTGCCAGTTCTCGGAACTACTCAAAATTTCCGCTACAGGTTCTCCAGAACTGGTCACAATCTGCTGAATACCACCTCTGTGTCCAAACCTACTAACCTTCTCTGTCACACAAATCTATTTCAGTAGATAACATATTACAAAATGATAATTGCATACATAACTTACCATCTTCATTGAGGAACAGTTTGTTGAATCTTAATCCACTAGGTTCTTTACCAACATATCTGTGTACATAATCAGTGCCAAGATCATTAACAGCAATAGCATACTTCAAAGGCTTTACACAGGACTGAAGACAAAATGGGACTTTGGTATCTCCAATAGAATGCCTGTAAAATAAATACTATTTTATTTATTGCATTCATCACACTTTTCCTGACAAATAAAAAAAAATGTATATCTTAAGGAAAAGGCTTTGGGAAAAGATTTTATTATGAACCACTACTATACAAAAAAGATCACCTAAGAGTCTACTTCATCTTTTATATGGTAACAAACACATTCTACCATATTAAAAATAAAGAAAACCCCCTACGCAAATCTTGAACAGTTATTTGAGAGACTTGCAATACTCAGAGTAAACATAAGCAAATAGGTTTAGAAATAAATAAGTTATCTTCTTAATATTAAATAGCTACAAAAACTAAATGTTCAAAGAATTAATATAACTATCATATGGAAATATTTCAACATCCAAAGTATTTGGATGGTATAAACAGAAAGGCAGGGTATACATTCAGTAATAAAACAAAACAAAAAAATAAAAAGTTAGTAAACAGATTAAGGAATTTGCATCATTCAATGGAAGTATGCATAGTACAGAGAAAGAAACATTATTGTCATTATTTTTTATCATATTATCAGAAACTATGGTCATTCAATGAAGCTGAACAGTAATTTACTTTTAGCCAATAAATGTAAAATATTTTATATATATATATGATTTATTCCAGTACAGTATGAAATTTCTCTCATAAGATACAGTATTTACTTTATGAGAGAGATCAGACAATTCCATGGAAAATCTCAGTGACCACTAATTATGCTTTCAATAGTTACCAGTTATTTATTTGTTTGCTTGTTTAATTCAACTTGCACCATATCCAGAGAGGAAGTTGGCTGTTTATATTTACTAAGCACGCATGTAAATATTATATGGAGCAGCAAACATCAAACACATTTTAAATAAATTGTGTAAATAAAATCAAATATAAGCAAATGACAATTTGTATAATTAAAACCATAGAAAAAAGTGTATTTCTTTGTCCCAATTGTATGAATTATCTGCTAAAACTAAAAAGTTTGTACTATTTCAAATCTTTATAGAAACAAAGCTTTGTGGTTTCAAAATGGTTGTTCAAGAATTGCATAATATATGTTGAATTGCACAACACTGAGCATTTATATTAGATTCATGTTAATTCCTATTTTAATTTCTCCTTTAAACATCAAATATTTGATGCCCTATTCATTTTCAAGACCTGTTCTGATGAGCCAAGATAACATGCTTAAAGCCTGTGAATCAGGTCATATCTAAAAATATTAAGTGGACAAGATACATTTTCATTTCTCATAGCTCATGGGAATCTGTCACAACTCTTTATTAACAATAAAGTACTTTCTAATACTATTGTATCTTCTATGTTTTAGAATAACATTTTCCAAAGATAATTATTTGCAGCAATCCATTTCTTGTCCAAAACTGGATTTTACCTTGTGAAAATGTAACTTTATGCTTTCTAGCCTTGGAGAAACAGGCCATGTCAATAAAATTCAGTAATATCTATAATATCACTAAATCAAGAAGGGGATCATGGCAAAAAGTTAAACAGTTTTGCATGACCCCCAGGAATGGATTATAAAACTCTAATTTATATTAACATTGTAACATAGCATAGGTAATTAAATTAGGATTATTCAACGCACAAAAAGCCTGCAATGAAGTTATCAACAGTGATGTTGTTTTGAGGAACAGAGGTTGTAAAACGATCGCTTCAAAAAAGGAACTCTCAACTTCTAGAACATCATCCTATTTTCTACTAAAAATTGGAATGCCCAAGGCTGAACCAAAAATCCTATCTTTTCTCTAGTACCATAAGAAACATACATCATGGATTATGCAGAACTATCTTATATTTGTAATTTAACCCCACAAAGTGTGTCTCTGCTTCTGTTTCTGAAATACTGAAATTATTTCACCAATTCAGATATTTAAGCTACAATACCTCTGCCCATCGACTGTGCAAACAGATACTGCCCATAAGTCAGGACTGAATTTAGCCAGTTGTGGGATATAGTCCGCAACCTACACAAAACAAGACCAATATAAAATAATTAGTAGAGCTACAAATAATGAATACACGAAACCCAGCTAGTAAAAAGCTAGTAAAATAATAAAAGGCACAAACACTTATCTAACCTCTCCCCCAAACTATCCCAGTTTTTTAAAACAGGATCTACCAAACAAACAAACAAAAAATAAGTTCACTATAGTTTTGTTCTTGTTCACTTTATATGAAAAATGATAAAGTTCATAGAAATCATTTTTAAGAATTCACTCAAGGTTAGCTGCACTTTTTCTTTCATAAATATATAAATGAATAATCTGCCAATGGTCAAATCTCTAGTGTCTCTATTATCAGCCCAACTGGGTGTACCACTCTAGGACTAGTTTTACTGTACACATCACACTAAGCCATAATGTTGTTAAGATACTGGCACTGTCAATATTTGATCCCAACTAGTATGTTTTATAAAGCATAATTTATATATAATTTAAAAATATTTAACATTATGTGAATAGTCCAAAATAGCTTCATAAAAATGTAGCATGCTAATTCCAAACCATTCTAAATATGCATTATCAGGTGCAGAGTTATCATGCAGACAGAAGTTTGCATAATTTCTTTTCTAATCACTTTTGGAAATTGCTTGAAATCTAGCTATTAGATACTTTTGGGTCATCAGGTTTTATGCCATGGGTGAATTTCCTTCAAACCTTAGTGAAATAAGTTTTAAATATAAATTTAAGGACTTATTTTATTTTTCTATAATAAACAGCAAAAAGGATACTTAAAATTTTGATTTGAAAATTACAAATAGACTAAGAGTCCATATAAATTTGAAATAGGATTTTGAAATTAATTATAAAGAATCCTTTTCTTGGGATACTGGTTTTATTTTGAATTATTTAAAAAACATAGTAAGATAAGGCTTTAAAAATTGCATACCAAATGAAATTGGGAGGATTTAATTAAACAATTAAAAAACTAACTAAAGAATTAATTAGTTAAAGAACAAGAATCAAACTTGACTAATATGGAATGAAGCAAATATTTTAACTATGGACATATTGAACAATGGACTAGAAATTAATCTTAAGAGTGTCTGCCTCGATAGTGTTTAAAAATGCTATAGAAGAGAAACGTGTATTATCTGACACAATTGAAATTGATGTGAAGGTATATTTTAAAATGATAGGCTACATGAATGACTTAAAAATGATTTTAGAAAAGAATCTAGCTGATGTCTTAATAATTAAATATTATTATGATATAAAAATAACAAACCAGAGAGTGACTGGGATAAAAAAAAGAAATCAGGATCTATGTCATTATTTGAATGGACTAAAATTGTTAGAAGTAAAATGAAAGAATAGAAAATTGATTTATTAGATCTAAACTAAAATGGATGTGTTGTTATCTTAATGGACTTTTGCTAACATAAGGACTGAAATCACAAAGTTATATGGATTTGTCAATAGAGGAGGGAAGGGAAGAAGACAATTTATTGTATTTTAAAAGAAGGTAAAAAGTTACTACCGTAGGTTTACACTTGTGATGAATAGGAAAGTAATTTTTTTCTTTATTATATTCTTATTTTTTCTTTCTTTTCTATTTTTTCTTTCTTTTCTATTTTTTCTTTCTTTTCTATTTTTTCTTTTCTTTGTCTTCTTTTTTGCATCTTCCATTTCTTTTTATTATTTTTTAGTTTACACTAGTTTTTAATTATTGTAATTTGCAAAGTTTAATAAAATTACTATATAATAAAAATATTTTAATAAGAAGGGTATTATACCAAATGATTAATGTAATCTGTTTTTTTTTCAGATGATAGCATCTTACATAAAATTATGACAGTTCTTTTATGCAAGTATAAAAATATTCTAGAGACAGAATACTTGCTGCCAGAAATGACAGATAGAAGGGAAAAATACCATTCCCTAACTGGTTAGAATTAAAAATCCAACACATCACAAAAACTAAATTACTGTGTTAAATATTCCAATATTCTATTTGATTTGCTTTAATTATAACATGCATACATAAGGAAAACAACAAAAAATGATTGAGGGGGGAGGGGAAATAATACCTCTGTGCTACATTTTCTTAGATGTCCCAGATACAGGAGATATGCATAGATATTTAAATTTCCAATTTAAAAAAAACCATGGAACTTACTTACTATATATTTTCACTTGCATATGCTACATGAAAAGAAATTGGGGAAAACAAAAATCTGTTCAATCTATGCTTATTAATATCAATTGCTGGGAAACACAAAGTAAATGTACAAGTGTACTGATACCCATTTTGTGGGACTCTCTGACAAATCACCTCTTTATAAATATATAAAATATATATAAATGGGAAATTTACCATTTTTTAAAAATGGACATTCCAACTGTATTTTTTTAAAAAAAGAAAATAGCAGTAGCCTAACTCATGGCTGGGCAACTTCTTAGCCTGCCTGCATACTACAGAAAGCTTTGGACAGATGACAACAGAATATTTTTGACCTGTTTTTCCTTTGTTTTGGGGAACTAGCAGGTTGTGAAAAATAGGGAATGTTTTATCTCACAGAAGTCTATCACTAACTTATTCAGATAGTCCTCACTTACTGAAAGTTGTGAAGTGAAATACCACATGACTGTACTGATTAACACCATCAATCCTAGATGCAGTTATTAAGTGAATCACTGTGGGTCCTTAAGCATAATGTCACTTGAACATGACTTGCAACTTCCTGCTGGCTTCCCCATTGACTTTGCTTTTGGAAGCCAGCTCTGAAAGAAGCAAAGAGTGATTATGGGATATTGCATGCATTAGCTGCCAAGTGCCCGAATCACAATCACATAACCATCAGGACATTAGAATGACAACAACTCTAATAAACATTTGTAATTCTCTTTTTTCAGTACTGCCATAAACTTGAACAGAAGCTGAATGAGCATTTGGTAAGTGAAGACTATTTGTACTTAAAACCATCCTTCAGTACCCAGATCAATGAAAATCACACAGAGAACATTCTATATCTTTCCACCAAGATTGGTGGCATGATCTCAGGATGATTTGAAGGATACAAACAACCATGAAATGCAGCTGGCCATCTCTATATTGCCACCAATTATTTTTAATAAGACACTTACCTTCCCTCCTGACTGTTTTTTAGCATTTTCATATAATTCATCAATGTGAGAGGCAAATGACATAAAGTCAGGAATGACAAATTTTCGCCTGAAAGCCTGAGTTAATAACACAATGTTGCTTTGGACACATCTGTGGGAAAAAAATATTATCACATGAGTGAAAATACCGTGCCTTTCACTGCAGAGATAATAAAAGTGCTTCTGATATCTAAAGAATAGTATTGTATCCAAATATATTATTTACTGAAGGTAATACATCAACTACTGACATAATGGATACTTTTGGTCTCCTCTGTGCTCTTCCTCTTTCCGTGAAATCAGATGTTGGGGAATTGCATATTGAAAAGTATTTCTGAGCAGTGCTCAGTTACATTATTTCATAGTAGCCTCATTATTCCATGCTATAATAAGCTGTAGCAAATCAATTAAGGCATTTACTTTTTAAAGAGATCTTTATCTAGCATGACACCGTCTGATGTTGTCTGAAGTGTCAATCTTAACATATCCATGCATTCTTTCAGTCTCGGATCTGCTGTTCGTAAACCTGTAGATTTTAAAGCCTGTAAAATAAAAAAGGAGTTACAGATATTTCTTCTTCTGAACACTAATTCACATAACATCGGTTCTGATTCCCATCTGATCTTCTTTTCCAATAGACTGCAATAGACAGTTCACAGACATTTGTTTTCAGTGTTTTGTTTTAAAATACATATAGCTGCACTCCGTAAATGTGAGTAAAATGATAATGCAGCCTTCTTTAAAACTTAAAATTTCTGTTACACTCACTTTTAGTAATCTTCCCATAACCTGATCATTACCAAACCTGTATGTTTTCAAAAATAAAAAGATATATGGCTAATTTACTTAGCACATAATTTATTAGAAATAGGATTAAAAAAACTTACTGTGATGAACTTATGAACTGGTATTTTTTCTTGTCCTTCTGCAATAGTATAGAAGAGCAAATCTTCCAAGCTAGGCAACAAACCTCCTTTACTAAGGAGAAAACACAGATTTGGGGAGAAATCAGGTATTAGTTGGTCACAATCTTAAATCAATGCAATTCTTTAAAATATACTCCTATGAAAATCTATTCTTAATTAAATCTTACAGTAAAACCTAGTTTCATATATACACACACACACAATGAAATATAAATCCTATAAAAAATATTTCTGAGCAGTGCTCATTTACATTATTTCATACTAATGAAAGTTTCACATACACATAGAATGTCATTAATTATTATCATTTAAGCACTGTATTTGTTCCTCCATGGACATTTTTATTTATTTTTCCTATCAAAATAGGACACAAGTAATCGTGTATGCCAATAGAACAAAACTTTACTATATAGTAAGTTTCCAATTAATACACAACAATCTTTCAATCAGTGCCTCCTTGCTAGATAACTAAAAAAATACAACTAAACAATAGCAGTTTTCTTCTTGGTCTCTTAATATTTCTTAATTTTTAATTTTGTGTGTGTGTGTGAGAGAGAGAGGGGGGGAGAGAGGGAGAGAGAGAGAGAGATTTAGATATACTTTTAAGAAATGTGCATGTTTAAAAATGTTCAAACATTAAGGCTTAGTTCAACTTCTTAAATAGTTTTTAAATAATTTTATAGATTATATATCATTGACATCTGTTGCAGTTAAATCAACCAGATTAGCCCAGTATTTAGCTATGGCACTGAACTAGCTGATACAAAAAGCAAGGCAAACATTCAATTTACTTACAGAAAATACCTCAAATGGACTATTCTTAGATAAAGCTTATCAGTTTAAACTGCAATATAAGCTTTTTCTCCCTCTACTTCACAGCTCAATAATGTTATGTAATATTTGTTTAGCCTAAGAGCAGCGTTTTAGCATCATTAAATACTTAGAAAAATACATATTCAGCATAACCAAAAAGAACTAAGACAGAAAGTGGACATGGCGTTGTCACCATTATCTTTACTACATGGAAGTGAGTGTTTATTCACTGCAAAGTCTGTACTGAAAAAATAAAGAGAGAAGCTCATTTGAAGCCATAAGACACGGCAAGTCACTTTGATACAACAAAGATAATATTGGCCTTCAAACATCTATTATAAGGCCATAAACTGACTTTTAAAGAAATTATGAATCTCAGTTCTGAATGAAGTTTGTGACCTAACATATTATATTAAAACCAAGTTCCAAAATAGCAAATTTGACTTATATTAAGAAATAACATTGCTTAAGCAAGCTGAGAGCATTTGAAGTATGGCATTATCTAGAAAAGAAGTAACAAGTGTGTGCCTTATGACAAGACTGCCACAGAAGATTGATTAAACTATAATGAGATAGTGAGATCTGTAAATAAGCTGTCAAGGTTAGCCAAAAGCAAAGACTACAAAATTCTGGAACTATACAGTATGCACATTTGGAAAAGACTCTGATGTTGGAAAAGATTGATGGCAAAGAGAGAAGGGGATAGCTGAGGATGAAATGGTTAGATAATGTCATTGCTACAGTGAACACGAACTTGGGCAAACTCCAAGAGACAGCGGAGGACAAAGTCTCGGATACTATGGTCTGTTGGGCCGCAAAGAGTCAAATACAACTTAGCAACTGAACAACATGCACATTGAGTGCTTTTAGACAATTGCATTGGCTCATAAATACATTGGGGATTCTAAGGAGATATCGGGCTCAAAATGCTACATAGGAAAGTAACCTTATTAATGTTTTAATAAAGTACACATCAAATCAAATATTTATTACAGTTATAGACCAGCATATACACTGCAATTAATGTCTTTTCTCACTGTATACGCCTCTCCCTTCCCATCTTCTTTGGTTTTACTAATGGCAGCAACAACTGAGTAACTTTAACTTCTCTTACTTTGTTTCCTCCATTCCATGTTACTCTTACCCACATTTCTATAATATTTCTGCAAAACCAAATGAAAATGCACTCATTCTCTTTTCCCCTTGTCATTATGGAGGACAAAGGCAAGAAACAAAGTAGCAAACCTTAGTGTGGAATAACACAAATGTTAATTTATCTTTTTTCACTTTTCTTACTGCTACAATTGTTACCCACTTCCAGTTGCCTACTGGACAAAGTAAAAAAAAAAAAATCAATATAGCATTATGGGAAATAGAAAAAGAATGTTGCAGTGGCTGCATAAAAAAGCACATATCCACAGAGGTGTGATAGCTGCATGATGATAATGAAAGAATAACAGCTAAGTTTTAGAAAAATATGCAACATTCTGAATACATTCAATTTGGAGAGGAAAAAATGACATTAGGTGACATAGAAGGATGGGTTTGGATGAGACAAAAGGATGAAATGAATGAAAACTCAATGAAGCCAATTGGAAACTCCCAAGTATTATTAGCATGGGGGTTATAAAATATGTTGCAACAATCCTGGGAATGGCTGGTGACCTGAAGACAGTCCCGTTGGCTTGTTAACATCCTAGCCTTGAATGTTTAACCTGATTTAAATTTACTTCTAAGTTTTAATTTGTTTTTAATTCTGTTTTAAGATATGCTTTTATTTATGTATTTATATTAGTTTTATTGTGCTGTTATAAATCACCCAGAGGGACTTAGGTGAGGTGGGTAGTGTAGAAATTTAATAAATAAATAAATGTCACTGTTTATGATAAAAGAATTAGGATTAGTGAATTACAGAAATGAGTTTGTAATGTGGGATAGATAATTATTTAGGAAAAAGTGTATTTTTTTCAGAAAAAATGAAAAATACAAAAGAAAAAAATGTATTGGAAGATGAATTCATTTTTTTATAGAACAAGTAGAAACAGGATGCAATGAATATATAAAAATAACTGGACCAACATAAAAATAATTCAATGAAGGGAGCCACTTAAGTGGGTGGAATTACATTAATGAAAAATATGTAAATGGATACTTGGTAGACTGACAAACTGCAAGGAATGATTGTTAAGAAACAAAATGCATACAAAAGAATGATTACTGCAAAAATGTGGTGGGCTTTCATTATAAAATTAATTATTTGAGATGAAACTAAAATGAAGGAATACTAAAAGGATTACTGTAGAAATTTTTATTGGAATTGTAATGATTCATCAAATAATGCAATTGAAAGAACCCTGAATCATATTCAATACTAAAGAACATGCAAACATAGAAGCCAGCTTTTTTTTCTTTCGCTAATTTAGCATTTTTAATGCAATCTCCCTTCCTAATCCCACCTGATGGTAAGCAAGTAGGGTTGCTGGTGGTGGTATTATATTTAAACTTTAGAATAATTTTTATGGGAATATTTTAGCTGTTTACTGTATCTATGTACAATTTCATGCAAAATACTTGCAGTAAACATGCTGAATAAATTTCTAGCACCATAAAAATTGCTAGATTGCAAAATTTATGACATAGCTTATTCTAATGTAAATGTCAATCCAGGCAAATTCTGAAACTTGCTAAAGTGAAACCACAATCCAACAGATCATTTGAAAGAAAGGGACAGCTGTTCAAGCAATATGTTCATTAAATCTAGAGATGGAAATATGACAGGAAAATATGTGTGATTGGGAAGAAGAAGAAAGATACTTTTTTTTCATTGTTACTTGAGTCAAATGAAATAAATGGAAGGTATCAGACTTTAGCCTTTATAAAACAGCATGGAGATAGCAGAACATGTGAACAAAGAAAACACTAAAGGACAATTCAGAATCTTTTTCCTCTCTCCCATCTCTGCCTTCAGGAGGAAGAAGATGATCAGTAGCACAGGGTTACATAGAAGAAAAAAACATGAATGCACAGACAGAACCATGCATTGCAAATTTGATCCATTGTATATAAAATCCATTAAATTGGGCCTTTGTGCATACAAAAGTGTGAAAAAAAAGAAAAATGGAAGTGTAAAAGGATCTTTTCTAGAGAACTTGTGAATGAGAGATCCACAAACCACAGCAAAGATTATTGTTATATGCATGCTGCCACTGTGGAATATAATAGAACCAACACTAAAGGATACAGTAGAAAGTAGGCACAACAATTACATCTATCTTGATATGGAAAAGGAAACTAGGGAGCTGACCGACATTGAAAAGCTTCTACCGGTACTATTAAATTCTATTGAAATTTGTCAGTTTCTAAAAGTGTACTTTTTCAAAAAAAATAGTATCAATATATGGATATATTAAACTGGAAAATTTCAAAATTCATTTCCCCTCCAAAATCATTGTAATAGAAATATCTGTACATCTAAAACACAATTCTTGACGAATGCATTTTAAATGCAAATAAAATGCTCTCGGGAAAAAGGAAAATACAGCAAACTAGTTGTCAGTCAGCCGTCATCTAAACCAGCAGTCTAACCTTTGCAGCTTGGCACACTGGTGTGGGGAAGAGAGGAACAGGTACGTGCGAGCAGCAGGCCGGCACGCGCATGGATGCACTTGGGCCGGCACATACACACATGCAGTTCAATTCACACGAACAGCGGACTGGCCTGCACACACATGCAGTTCAATTTGTGCAAGTTCAGCTGTGTGTGCGTGTGCACACACACCAGCCTGCCATTCATGCAAGTTGAGTTGCACATATGCATGCTGGCACGCTGCTCGTGCAGCCCAATTGCAACTAGGCCACGGCCTGGTAGTGGGCTGTGGCCTGGTGACCCCTAATCCAAACAGTATTTGGGAAGACTCTAGAGCAGATCATTATCAATAGAGCATATAAATAAATAAAAGGAGTCATCATGAATCTTATCTGACAAATCTTGTTTCAATGTTTGACTAGCTAATTTTCTTAACACGTGGATAATGTACTATAGAGTAGTATATCTGTACTTCAATAAAAATGCCATTTATCTGTCAGCTTAATAGAATGATAGCTCAGTCAATTTGCAGCTGGTTCAGATCATACTCAAAAATGCTCACCAGTAGTTTTTTTTGTGCATTGGAGAGTAGTATCAATATTCTTTAATATTTTTCTTACACATAGGGGAATGCTTATCAAATTTACCATACA